AAAAAATCTCGATTACTGACTCATCAGTAGCACATTATCATTGTTATAAATTATACACTTCAAATTTCATCAAAATTCGCTAGGAGTACACTTCCACGTCGCTCTATCGAAAGAGCAGCAACTCTCTGCATCTAATTAAAAGAAAAGAAAAAACAGTGAAATATAAGTCATTGACTTATCATCCCACATGAAAACGATCCCTCCTCAGGGGCCATCGATCGCGTTCTCAGTGGCGCGACGATATTAAAACGACACCTCGTATCGATCCCCCTTATCGATGCCTATACCTCAAGAAGCCGGCGGAACAGTAGCCAGCGCGCGCGAGTATCACGAGGGAAGCGTGCGCCTCGACCAAGAGGACTACTAGCAAAAACGTCGCTACTAGCCGGCGAACTTTATTGAATGAAAATGCCGCTACGTTTTTGCCCCCGTCTCACAGCATCTCTCGCGGACCGAATGAAACAATGGCCATTATGTGGAACACTCGCGTGTCCATATACATATATGCATGTGCACACGTGAGTATTACATGTTTTTCAATTTATACACACACGAATGAATACACACGTGTGCACGCACCTTATCGTACCTGTGTATTATACGTACAGGGTGTCCCGTGATATGTGATTTCCATTTCACCGATGAATTTGAAAATTCATCTATTTCATCTTGTTCGCAAGTTATAATAAAATGCCTCGTACTGTAATCGTTTGTTGAACAAAGTTTGTACCGCTGTTTCTGTTCAACTGTTCACAAGTAACACTTGACATTTTGCACATGATCTTTCGACCATTTTGGAAATTTGTAAAAATTTCGGTTGGCTATCGTAACTAACTCTAAACTCTGAGTTAACGGTATGTGATAAACCTAACTGTTATTTCCGCAACTGTAAAAATTTATCTGATAAAAGATCTACCAATGAGATTTCAGCGATTTGAAACTTGGAGACAATGCAAATAGAAAATGAGAATTGCAAATTTTCAAGATTGTCAGAAAAATTTATATCACAGTTAGACAATTTCTGACCAAGAAATTCCCAGATACATGAATGGAAATCTTTTTTATAAATGCCATGTTTTTCTGACACTGAAATGCATTTAAACATGCAAAATATTATGACCATAAAATGACTTTGGACACGAAAATTTGATTTTTATTTTTTCTGGCACCACCATACCTACAGAAATTAATTAAATGGCCTGTTTTCCATAGCCCACTCTGTATAACACAAAAACTGCAAACGCAGCTTAAGCATACGTTATACCAAAAGGTGGCCATTTTTCGATTCTCCTGTGAAATGAATAATCAAACATAAAAGTCACTGTATCTCGTAAAGAATCTCAGACACGACGCAGCTCCGCAAAATTTGGTTTTTTCATTACTCTCAACTGTTGTACCAATCTCTATATTAGATCTTGTACGTTACAGGACACCCTGTATACGCTGTATATACATATACACATATATAAATGTAGGCATGCACGTGACAGCTGTTGGTGCTATTATACCAGGCACGGTCGCATTATGCCTTAAGGACAATCGTGGGAATTCCATTAAGTGGCCTTGAATGGTTCATTCATGTCGATCAACTCTTTTCCTAACGGGGTTGACAGATCAATCGGGCCCGGGCACGAGCGAGACCCACGGGGATTTCTCCCCGCTGCGCGTTCCATCGTCCCAGGGAGGACGAGCGCAACGAGACGACGAAAGAGAGACGCCAAAGTCAATTACCTCGCGTATATACGAACGGCAGCGTGTACGAATCGATCTCTTGTTTTCTTGGCCGGCGAGGCGCGCGCTCTCGTTTGCCCCGGTATCGAACGAATCGAGAATGGTATTCCATCCGCGTCGTCGTCGTGCGGAACTCGTTCTCGTCCCTTTCTAGAGGTGGGACACACCGATCGACCGGAATAATTGACTTTTGCTTTTAATTCGGCCTGCCCTTCCATAATCCATACGTGATCCAATTGGCTCCGGGTGCCTCTTCCGACGATCCAAGCGGATGAAGTCGTAATTGATGGAAATATCAGGAAATCGTCCTTTCAGGCGGCAGGATTTGTTCGATCGTTTGGTGTACAGGGTTCGATTTCAGGGATTTCTTGGTATTCGTTCAGTTCATCGAATTTGAATGGGAAATTAATTTTTGCCAATTTCGTTGAGTGTAATTGTTTCTTGAAGTTTCAGTTGATTTTTGGGAGGAAAATTAATGTTTAATTCAGTCCTGCAGTCATTTAACCCTTTCGCCACGGCACACTTGTGACAAAAAGTGCTCGCTGTGTACTGGAAGAAACAGGAATCAGATATTTTGCAACACTTGCATAAAAATAAAGACACGTATGATTGATTATCAACTGTTTCACGATAGTTAGATGTTTGATGCACTCTGGTGCTGCCTCACTCGACAGTGATATTTTATTCGTGAAATGCGAAAATGGATTAATAAATTGTGTGTATCAGACGGGCGTATGTGTACGCTCTTTGTAGATAAGTGAACCCTCCGTAGCCAAAGGATTAATTTGTATTCTTTCTTTCGTCTATTTTTACTATTCATTGTTCTATTATATTCTACACGTTACATTTTAATTTACGTGTAAACAAAGATGAAAAAAATGAACTCTTACTTAACTGAAAAATTGTTAAAACGTCGATGTAAAATTCTCAAGACATTATCTTACAATAGATCTTCAGAGTTCTGGATCACGTAAAAATCTGAACGTTTGAATAGACCTAATCAAATGTAAACGACAGATTATACTTTTTCCTTAGTTTCCCCTATTTTCACCATATTTCTTACGAATAAACTTATTATTTCTTCATTTTTTCCTCGCTTCTATTTCTTTCGGTCGTTCTTGCCAGATGAGTTTAGAGGTCGAGATCGGAAAGGGTAATGGATACGATGTTTAATGAGGAGAGATGTCCGTGGAAAAGATCGGCCGCATTGTTTGCCGATAAAGAAAGCCGAGTGAATATTTCGCGCTCCTTTTGATGCTGACTCGAGATGGACGAGCGTTTTCTGGAATGAAATTTAATTATCCTGGCTTCCTCGTTGCACTTGTACCCGTTTCTTCCTGGGTCAACACTTTAATTAGAATTTAATGACGTGAGAACCATTATTAATTCATCGAAATTTACATGAAAATATAATCTCCAAAAGCCTGCAGGTATTATACCTATATATGCGTATACCTCTACGTACAGTATCATCGACTTTGTACAATATTATTTGTAATTACAAACAGCCCACGATGGTTTTCCTACATTTTCTGTTAATTCTTCATTAATTACACCGTATGGAATTATTAGACGATCAAAAAACATGACGTTAGGCAGGATTATAAATAGCTACATTTTCTTATCTCCGTTATTAATTTATTATTAGTACACCGTGTAGAATTATCATATGCCCAAAACACAAGTTTTTCGATGTTATTTATAATTATGAGTAGCCGGAATATTTTCTTATCTACGGCATTAATTTACGATGGTTGTTATATGCACCATACGGAATTTATTATTAATACATTACGGTAGGAACAGGATTAACGGCGTCAGTTGCGATTATAAATAGCTACAACATTTTCTTCTCTGTTATTTAATTCGTTATTAACACACAGTATGAAATTATTAAGCGCGCGAAAAACAAGATTTTCGGCGTCACATGTAACTATAAATACTTTGAATAGCTGCAATATTTTCTTATCTCTATCGTTGATACATCGCACTTTGTATACAATTCATTTTCAATAAACTATACAAAAGTATTAGACGTCTTTCTAGCAGGAATTTATTATTAATTAATTCGTTACAAGTGTTTCTATTCGCAGCTATATTTTACCGTTTAAAAGATTGGCATCGTGCGTCGTTCAATTGTTCACTCGCTTCTATGATATAGAATCAGTATGCAATTTGCAACGAAATCCACGATACGGTGCAAAATAAATCGAAGACCCCAAGTTTTCAATCCATACTGAAATACCTCAAGCTACATAAAAAAATAATTCTCTAAATGTCCCTTAATTTTAAATTTAAAAAAGAAATCCACGATACGGTGCAAAATAAATCGAAGACCCCAAGTTTTCAATCCATACTAAAATACCTCAAGCTACATAAAAAAATAATTCTCTAAATGTCCCTTAATTTTAAATTTAAAGAAGAAATCCACGATACGGTGCAAAATAAATCGAAGACCCCAAGTTTTCAATCCATACTGAAATACCTCAAGCTACATAAAAAAATAATTCTCTAAATGTCCCTTAATTTTAAATTTAAAAAAGAAATCCACGATACGGTGCAAAATAAATCGAAGACCCCAAGTTTTCAATCCATACTAAAATACCTCAAGCTACATAAAAAAATAATTCTCTAAATGTCCCTTAATTTTAAATTTAAAGAAGAAATCCACGATACGGTGCAAAATAAATCGAAGACCCCAAGTTTTCAATCCATACTAAAATACCTCAAGCTACAGCAAAAACTGATTTTCTTAAAATGCCTTAATTTACATTAAAAGAAAATTCATATATAAATCCATGACACGATACAGAATTACAAAACTTTCTACCAATATTTCAAATCTTACAGATAAAAAATCCTCAAACTACACCGAAAAATAATTCTCTAAATGTCTCTCAATTTTACATTAAATTCACGATACGATACAAAATACCTAAAGGTAAAAAATCCTCCATATTCAACCATACAGCGTTACACTAATTCACAC